AGGTACGAACTTGGAGCAAAGCACATATGTATTTGAACGGTACTTCATGACCTGTTATCGTCTGTTCATACTGTCTAAAATAGAATCGTGGCCAGTTATTTTCTGAAACTTAAAACTGTTGGGCTATCCTCGATATTTGGTGGCACTTTTCTACACTTCGATTGCGTTTGACTATGTTCGGAATCTGTTCTCCTGGCATCTTTTGTTCCTTTAGGGGAGTTGGTACGACTTCTTGGCTATAGTCCAGCAGGTGATTGGTCCGAAGTAGAAACATCCGGTCTCGTCCATCCGACCACCCATCCAGTTGCTGAATCTGAACATATCGGCTCNTACAGCCATCTCAACTCCAAAGCGGTTCTGAATTGGCTGCTCATCGCGATTCCATTGGACCTGGAGGGACCGGAGCTAGCAGTACTGTCAGTACAGCCAGCGGGGTAAGCAACAATAATCAGTCGTTTGTCAGCGCACCAATGAAATATCGTCGCGGTTGGGTTCCTACCAGTTACCTGGCTCCTGCCAACGTATTGTCGGATCCAAATCAGCGCCGAAGTGGACCCGTCGTTTCACCGGAAGCCATGTTCCCTTCTGTGGGTCCGGCCCCTTCAGTGGAACGATGTGATGTAACTGGAATGGATCCAAACAGTGGTCTTGTTTCGGGTCCGAATCCTGCATTATTGATGCGCCCAGATCAACTTGGCCATCGGTTACACCCACCTGCACAGCAAACTCAGCAGCAACAATTTGCATCCCAACTTAATATGGTCGATTCTTCTCCAGTAGGCTTACAGGGTCCGAGTCTTACCTTGTATCCTTGGTATCACGGCGCCGTATCGCGCCAATCAGGCGAACAGCTGCTACGCAGTGGGATTACGGGTTCATTCTTGGTTCGGGCATCTGAGTCTGCTCCCGGACAGCTTTCTGTCACGGTACGCCATCTTGGTCGTGTCTATCACTATCGGATCAGTCAAGATGCTCGCGGTTTGGTAAGTACTTCTTATTATGACAGCTTTACTTGATCACTTTGTTCTTTCGAAATTTATTTTCAAATTCATCTCGTTTTCCCCTAGTCCTTTACAGCTTGTGAATAATGTACAATAGGAACGTCCAAAAATCTCAAAGTGAAATAAATCAAGATCTAGCGTGCCTAGTCCGTCAAGGAAAATATGTTACAGCAACACACTTGTGCATTGTTACTGGCATTAGGGACTAATAGGATTGGCTATATACCCTCGCTTAATGTTCTACTTGAATCCGATTTAATTGATGCATGGTTGCTTGATGAGCTGCACAACCAAATTGTATCACACCGGAAATCATCGTACCTCGGTCTCGGTTTAATGAGACTGCCAATCGTAGCAGGTAAGCTAATACTAACAATTATATACATAAATATCTATTTGAAAATATAAATAACTATACACATATATATATATATATATGACGTAAATGGAGCCTTCGGCTCATTTGATCGTGAATCCATTATGTATTCACTCCATCGCAAAGGAATGCCGCGGAAGTATGTGAACATACTGAGTTCACTCTACTCACATACCTCTGGTAGCGTAAGGGTCTGCTGCGAGCTGAGTAGGTCGTTCGTAACTAGCAGTGGTGTTCTTCAAGGGTGCCCTCTTCCGCCATTCCTGTTCAACTACGTCATGGACGAAATACTGGTCTCCAAAATGCAGGTATTGAATGGGGAGCTGGAGAAAAGCTGCGCGATCTAGAGTACGCCGACGACATCGTTCGCTTGTTTGAATGTATGGAGGAAGCAAAAAGGGCACTTGACAGATTAGTAAGTTCTGTTGCCTCTTTCGGTATGAGCTTTGCACCTTCAAAGTGCAAAGTGATGCTACAAGACGGGGTGTCACTGAGTTCTGTTCTGAAACTAGACGGTCACGAATTAGCTGAATTTGACTACTTCTCCTACTTAGGTAGCTACGTGACCAACGACGGTAGCACATCGAAGGAGATAACCGCCCGCATTTCCAAGGCTCAAGTAGCATACGCAGGACTAAAGCACCTGTGGCGTGATGTGACGTGTCACTAAAAATGAAAAGTCGTGTATACTGCGACACCGTACTTTACGGTTGTGAGGCCTTGAATTTGCGGGTAGAAGACACCCGTCGTTTAGAAGTGTTTGACAATCGATGCTTACGTAGTCTGGAGTGAGCGGATTAGTAAGTTAGAAATCGTCGGGTGTTTGGGAATACATCAAACCAGAGAAATCGTTATCTTATCGAATCCAGCACAGTAGGCTCCGTTGGTTAGGACACGTTTTGTGTATGTCCGACGGTCGCCTACCGCATCGCGCGTTTTTTGCAGTGGCTGTTACAGGCTGGAGAAAGCCACGTGGAGGCCATCAGATGACGTGGAGACGAGGCATTAAAAAAATGCACAGAACGATAAGGTAGAGTAAGTGTTCCTCATCTTCCGGGTTGCGGCCCAAAAGACTCCGTAACCGGATGGTTGGAGACACTGAAGGTCATGGCTGCGAACCGACAGCAATGGCGATCATGCTGTCACTTCATATCAGACCAGAATGCTTGAAATTGTATGCATGCACAGTTGGGCTGTGTACTGTGTGTTGACTATAGAGATTTGCTTTTTTCCCCGTTCCTAAAAATAGGCCCAATCGGTGTCCTCCGTACACATTATCACTTTCCTTGTATGCATTATGAATTCGGCAGCGATCAGTGAAGTTCGCTTCACTGTATTACGCTGTACAATGATGATGATGACCATAATTTGATTGGCAAACAGTTTGAATATATATATATATATATATATATATATATAAAGCAAGTTAGGCATGTTTCAGGGAGACAATGTAACCTTCGTTTTACTCTTTGCACATGAAGGATCCTCTAAATTCCTCGTGCTTTCATAAGCTTTCGTCAATCCAGATCTCATCATTC